TCTGCCTAGTTCTCCTATTTACATGCTTCTACTGGCCACTTTCCTCACCCAGCAGTCTCCACTCACAGTTCTCCAGTCCAGCCTGCATCTGGGAATCTTGACTTTTCCCTTCAGCCTTCCCTCCATCATCCGCTTGAATGCCCTTCGAAACTCAACCATAATTTTCACCTGCATCTCCAAAACTCGACCATCTCTTCCATCAGCTCTGTCAGGCAGCACTTCATACAAAGGAAGCTGGTTTTGGGTACCCACTCCAGCATAAGGTACGTGTGGCAGCTTCCACACTCAGTCATCTTCATTGTCTCTGACATTCCTTGGCTCACTCCCAATGCGGCCTCTGTATCTGTCATAGCCCTCCTGCCTACGCTCCTGCCAAGGAAAAAACCAACCAACCACCACCCAGTCCCTCCCCCCAGCTCCCTTTACCAACTCCCACACAATCCCCCCGACACCCCATGTTCAGCTGCTTGCTAGCTCTTGTGCTAAGACCTTTATACTTAATCATGTAAAGCAGATGAGAGTACAATCATACAAAACAATTAATACTAAACACGTTTCCCTGCTTCAGTTTCCTCATCACTCCAGGGAATTCTCTGTGCTGGGTCCAAGACCCCGGGTTAGCCAGAGTCCTGGGGACCATCTGGGCTCAGGAAAGTAGCCAGCTCCTCCCCCCACACTCCTCATGAGGCTTCTACCTGTTAGGTGGCCTCTCTCCTGGACCCTTCATCCAGCTTCTGTGACCTTGCTCTCTCTCCCACCCCCGCCCCTCGCTTCCTCTTCCTGTCTGGCCCCTGTTCCTATGTGTTTCTTTATTTTAAACCCCTTGTTCTCATCTGGTCTCTTTTGTTCTTCTCCTCATAAGGCTCCACGGCTCCTGCTTTCCCTGCTCCCTTCAGGAGCCATCTGCACGCGTTTGCGAAGGATGCAGCTCACCCATTGTCCCAGATGTTTGCACCTCAATAGTGTCATTCCGTCCTAAGCACTGTCTCCTTGTCGCTGTCTGGTGCATGGTGCTACAGGGCTTGTCAGCACTGGGGGCTCCACCTACATACAGGCTCTCCTGACACTGCTAATTTCTTCCTGTTCCTTCAGTTTGCTTTACTTGTTCTTCTCTGAAGACACTTAGTGTGGAAATGGTGAGACTTCTCCCCTGAGGGAATGCCTGTGAGGCACCTTCCTTTGCCTCTTCCCACCTTTACCAGGGCAGCTAGCAGGGAGATGATCATGACCAATGGCTATTTTCATTCTTTTCTTTCTGTTTAGCCCTGGAATTGGTCTTGCTGGATGGTTAATTTCTAGTGGGCAGTCAGGGGAAAAAACTTCTTCAATGCACTTCCAGTTGCCTGGTGAGATGTCCCCTTGCAGAACCTCAACTTCACCAAACTCAAACCTCTGAACATCAGGAAATGCTCCCACACCCTTAACTCTACTCTCTCTCAGCAATGTCCCAATATGCCCTGGTAACACACACATGTTTTGCTCTGCTAACACCATGATGGCTGAAGTGTCTGAGCTTTTCACCTCCAGTTACAGCAACTCTAAACAGACCCACACCCTCAGTTGGGCCTGACACGGCACAACCCCTGGGCAAGCCAGATGGGGGAGCAGGCTGGGCCTGGCCATGAGAGTGACTGCAGAGCCAGCCACCCCCCACTCAGAGGAATACTCCCACCTCAATGACCCCTGCTCACTACCCACATTGCCCCCCTCAATTCTGAAAGCCTGGGTGGGGAAGCTTATTTTCTCTTGTGATGCTCTGAGCATCTGGATCTAAGAATGGTGCCCCCTCAGCTGTTCCCCTGGGGAAACCAAAGGGTTAATTTTAAGAGAGCTGATTAGGCTCCAGGCTAGACCGGATGATCTCCACCTAGGTTCTCCATGGTCCCGGCCCATGTTGCTAATTGAAAGAACTATGAGCCGTTGTCCCTTTTATACAGTTTATTAAAATGAAAAAATTGAGACCACACATCACTAAGGCTAAATTACTGTAAACACTATCACTATGCAGCTAAGAGTTAAACGATACAGTTATGGTCAAATCAGTGAATTAATGTGTTAACAAGGATACTATATTGGAATAACGTGTCATCAACTGGGTGAAATCATCAGAGTAACACAGCAGAACATCAGCCCTTTTAAACACTAAAACAGGATCCCAAGGAAGCGGCTGTGTATTGAGTTATATACCGATGGGCAGCTGGTTGAGCCCCCCCTTGGGGAGGCTAACCCTTGGCTCCACCCCTTCCGCCTGCAACTTCACGCCCGGGGCCAGACTTCCATTTTCTCCATCTCTGCAGACTGGGCTTCCCAAATAACAGGCAGAGTGCACCTGATTCGGAAGGAAATATTTTCAACAGTAATGTCCTGCAAAGCCACAATTCCTTTGGGATCCAAATCCATGGGCCTTTTGCCGAGTTCCAAGTCACTGACTGGGGAATACACTTCCCAGATCATCTGAAACTATATTGCCATAACCCTGAATAACACTGTGTTTACCAAACTAAATTAAAACCCAAAATGCTTCATAACATTTGCTGACCAAACTGGACCAGAGGGATTTGCAACTGGGCTATTGAGTGAACTGAATCAGTATTCTCTTCAGCTAAACTAAAGTGTAAAAAGGCAGGTTGTGAAATCACGGCAGTACTGTTGCAATGACAGCTACCATGTAAGAACAGAATTTTACTGAAACCTGAATTCTACCATGACCATTATTCTGGAATGTAACTTGCTTACCTAAGCTCTCACAATCAAAACTATTATTCAGGGATGTAAATTGTTTTATTTCAAACCACGGGTTTGTCTGGATAAGATTTACTGGGAAATCAGTTCTTATAAGTAAAAGGTTAAAAGTGTGATAACTGATAAAATATATTATAGCAACTGTAAGTGAAATAATGGTATTTATAATCAAAATAAGAAAGTAGTCAATAGTGATTATGTAAAGTGTATCGAACTTGAAGTCCTTTATATTCACGTTAAATGCTCTGAAACTGTATGATAGGTAGATGCTGTGACCTTTGTACGAACTTCTCCTTTGTATCTGTGCTGGAGAATGCAAGTTCAGCAAAAACTAAGGTACACGAAGCTTGTAAAATGCACTTTAAAAAACCTAGTTTCTAAGTGTTATGATATACCTTGCTACTACAATAGAGATGAAGTTATGTTAGAGAAAGTTTGTAATTTCTATAATGTTAGCCAATATTAAATAGTACATACAGTATTAACATTATATATAATATCACATATTTCTTGAATTGTCCTCATCTTAAGATCTTCCAAAATGCTTTTCTATTTATGTTACAGAAAGAGATAGCTGAAGTATTGTAATAACAGGGCTAGGCACAAACATAGCAGAAAAATAGGTAATGCTAGGCCTGGAATGTTCAAAACAAAATTCTAGTCTTATGTACGTGCTTCTCTGTTTTTGTTTAATGCATGGGGTCTGTATAACAGTCAAAATGTAAAATATAAGCCATGTTGAAACTTTCAACATATCCCCCACATAGAAGGTGTAGCAATTACTGACTATGAAAAACAGGTCACAGAAAATAGAGAAGAAAGATATATTAGATAAAGTGATGTAGGGAAAATTGTGAAACTCCCCCCCACTTAGGTATAAATACAAAAGGGATAAGCACAGGATCTCTGAGACAGTGTGAGCACTGCAACTCCTGCCTCTCAGAGGGATTGGTAACATAAGCACTCTTCCTTTCTGTATTATGCTGTATTACTCCTTGATTAATAAATTGATTAAGACTAGATATTGGATATCTCGCTATTAATTTATATTGCACCCACAACAAGTGTGATCATGTCAGTTTGTTGCACAATTTGCAATATGATGTTCTTCACTGTTTCAAAGTAGAAATTTTAAATTGCTACTGTTTCCTTGGGAGTATGCCCAATAGTTGGAATATTCTTTCCTGCTGGCTGAACTTCTTCCATGTCACCATACAGGGATGGGGAAAAGACACACATAAAATATCGTTTTAGCAAATGGTCATTTGTCTCCAAGTCCCCAATAAATCTGAGGTACATTCTGTCAAACAAAGGTAATATCCAATTATGAGACCAAACTGACTTCAGGACAGAGAGAAAAACCCACAACACAAAGGGGTGGAAAACACTTTCAGTTTCATATAAAATGAAATTCCAGAGCAGGTTGTCTGATAACCCAAAATCAAAACAGATTCTCCCACTGTATTCTCCACTGATCAGTTCAATTTTCCTTCAGTCTGTGCCACCTCATTATTATTGAGTCATGTTACTTACAAAAGATTTAGCTTAAATCACAAGGGGGGAAAGCAGCCAACCTTCCCATCTGCAGACAATCCATGCTTTGCAGGAAAAAGCCCAGAAGCAGCTTTGCCAAGAGATGGAAGCAGAGATGAAAGCACAGAATGATTACTCTGTGTTTGGGATCCATTCAAATTCCCCTTCCAGGCCTGTGACACTTTCATCTCTAGCCCCACTGAGTCTGATTTACGATCAAAGTGTGACACCTAAGCACAGGAAGCGCTCAGAACACGGCATCATGTGACACTTTGGGAGGTGCCGGGGTAGAACGTGGGGAGGATAAACACTATTGTGGCTCACACAGAAGCTAATGCTGCTGGGGCGAGAGGGGATTGTGACAGTGATGGGGAAGGAGGGAATCCCTTTGACTCACCCCGTCTCCTTCAGGAGTCACAGAGTATGAAATGACACATTTTTCCTACCCCACTTTGTTCTATTTCAATCTATTATACATGAAGAAAATGGTAGAAAAAAATATTTCTGTCCTGCAAAACCCCGAGCAAGGTGAGAACAACTGGGATTGAGACAATCTGTCCCCAAGGGGGAACACGGTGACTATCACTCACTTTGTAATGGGGGAATGGTATCAATGTGATGCTTGGGTTTGTCCAGAGTAGGAAGAATGATGGTGGTGAGCTCAGGTCCAGGGGAAAGCTAACCCCAGCCACTCTACCCAGGTTATGTCTGCACTACAAATGCAAGATCTCTAAACTGAGCGGCTACCTCCATGTACAATCCCAGTGGAGACAAGGCACGGGCCATTTTTACTTCAGTGTAGCTAGTCAAGGTGAACACTATCTCCCGCACATGGTGCTGATGGATATTTCTGGCAGGAGAAGGACACACTCCCAGGACTTATAAAATAAAGGAGTTGATAAAGGATGATGTGATTCACCCCAAATGGGAAGGGGCAAAAGACAGAGGCAGGCAACTCACGTAAAGCTGAGAGACTACACTGAAGAAAATGGTACAAACTACGTGGGAATTTGCTACTGTATTTTACAAAAAATCTTTGGCCGGCCCTAAGACATTTATGGTGGCGGTTCTCAACTGGAGGTCCGGGGGCCCCTGGGGTTCTCCTTTCAGGGAGTCTGTGGGGACCCACAGTTGAGACCCCAAGTCTCAGCTCCCCACCACAGGGCTGAAACCCCAAGCTCCCCTCCCCTCAACCACTGAATCCAGGAGCAGCATGGGGCTGAAACCCTGAGCTCCCCTCTTTCCCTCCCCCACCGAAGCTGGGAGCAGTGCAGGGCTGAAACCCTGAGCTCCCCTCCCGCCCCTGAAGTCAGAGCGGCAGGGAGCTGAAACCCTGAGCTCCCGCAACGGAATCCGGGAGCGGCACAGGGCTGAAGCCCTGAGCCCATGAGCAAAGTTGAGGAGGCACCCCGCCCCCCAACTGCAGTGCCTTACCCAGAACGTGGCAGTCCTGGGGGAAGCTCCACTCCCTCAGCCCCCCTCAAGCCCCACCTCTCCCATCTCTGACCTGGCCAATCTGGAGCCAGGCAGTGCGGGGCAGCTGCTCTTCTGGCTGCTGGTGTCATGGGGGAATGCCAGGGCTGCCCACTCCATCTGCTGCTGGTGCCCAGGGTTGCAGCTGCTCCTCAGCTCCCGGCCTGCTTTGACTGCTCACGCAGCCAGTTACAGCTGCCCAGGCAGGGACCTGGCTCCGAGGCCAGCAGAGCTGTGGGGAGCAGCCACCAGCACAAAGCCCCAGACAGGTGGGTGGCTGCTGAGGTGAGGCAGGGGGTGGAAGTGGACCCGGCTGGACTCCCTCCCTGGACCCGGCTGTGTGGAGCTAGCCCAAGCCTTGCCAGCCCTTACCCCTCCCAAAATAGAAGTCAAAGTACACCTATGCCCAAGGGTCCCACCCCCCGGGCCCAGATCCGTAAGTCGCTACCCACCCGTTGGGGGCCTTGGAGTTTTTATAGCAGGTTGAGGGGGCCTCAGAAAGAAAAGGTTGAGAAGCCCTGATTTATGGCGTTACTCGCCTGTGTGGATTCTCTTATGTTTGATGAAAATTGAGCTCTTATTAAAACTTTTCCCACACTCAGGGCATGTGTAGTTTGTCACTCCTTTATGGATTCGCTGATGACTAATAAGGGCTGAGCTCCGACGGAAGCTTTTCCCACACTCAGAGCATGAGGAGAGTGTCTTCCCTACATGGACTCTCTGATGTGTGATGAGGTTTGAGCTCCGATTGAAGCTTTTCCCGCACTCAGAGCATGCGTAGGGTCGCTCTCCCGTGTGGATTCGCTGATGTGTGAGAAGGTGTGAGCTCTGGCTGAAGCTTTTCCCGCACTCAAGGCAGGTGTAGGGTGTCTCCCCAGTGTGAATTCGCCGATGTTTGTTCAGGTTTGAGCTGTGGTTGAAGCTTTTCCCACACTCAGGGCATGTGTAGGGTTTCTCTCCTGTGTGGATTCTCCAATGCCTAATAAGGTCTGAACTCTCACTGAAGCTTTTCCTGCACTCAGAGCACGAGTAGGGTGTCTCACCCGTGTGGATTCGCTGATGTGTGATAAGGTTTGAGCTGTGGTTGAAGCTTTTCCCACACTCAGAGCACGTGTAGGGTCGCTCTCCCGTGTGGATTCGCCGATGTGTGATAAGGTGCGAGCTCTGGGTGAAGCTTTTCCCGCACTCAAAGCAGGTGTAGGGCGTCTCTCCAGTGTGGATTCTCCGATGTGTGATCAGGTTTGAGCTGTGGTTGAAGCTTTTCCCACACTCAGGGCATGTGTAGGGTTTCTCTCCTGTGTGGATTATCCAATGCCTAATAAGGTCTGAACTCTCACTGAAGCTTTTCCTGCACTCAGAGCACGAGTAGGGTGTCTCACCCGTGTGGATTCTCCGATGCGTGATAAGAGTAGCTCTCCGACAGAAGCTTTTCCCACACTCAGAGCACATGTAAGGTGTCTCTCCTGTGTGAATTCTCTGATGTGTGATGAGGTGTGAGCTGTGATTGAAGTGTTTCCCGCACTCAGGGCATGTGAAGGGCGTCTCTCCAGTGTGGATTCTCCGATGGGTGATCAGGGCTGAGCCGTGACTGAAGCTTTTCCCACACTCAGAGCATCTGTAGGGAGTCTCTTTTGTGTGGATTCTCCGATGTGTGATAAGGTTTGAGTTCCGATTGAAGCTTTTCCCACATTCAGAGCATGTGTAGGGTCTCTCTCCGGTGTGGATTCTCCGATGTGCGATGAGGTGTGAGCTCCGGTTGAAGCTTTTCCCACACTCAGGGCATGTGTACGGTCTCTCTCCAGTGTGGATTCTCCGATGTGCGATGAGGGCTGAGCTCTGACTAAAACTTTTTCCACACTCAAGGCATGTGTAGGGTCTCTCTCCCATGTTCATTCTTTCATGTCAAATAATGTCTAATAACGTACCGAAGCTTTTCTCTGGCCTATGTTGACTCTCACAGACTTTTGCCTCTGCACAACTTCAAGGAACTTTCCCTTTGGATCTTCCTGTTAACGTCCGATGTGGTTCTACTTCCTCAGCATCTTCCTGCTGTAGATTCTGCTCCAGTTTCACTCAACATCCGATCACCTGGAAGGACAGAGAGAGAATTCAGACATAGGTCACTCCCTGTGCTGGGGAGAAAGGAAACCCCAGAGAGGAATGGGAAAAGGTGGGCCCAAACCAAAATAAGTGCCAGAGACATCAAACAAAACAGGATTTGATTCGAACCCCTTCCACAACCTGCCCTGCCTAAAGTCCTTCCCCAGAGGATAGAGAAGAGAGGGTCATTTCTGGGTCCACATCCCACTCATGGGGAAGGAAGATTGGGGAGGGAGCTACAGCCAGATGTCAGTCAGGAGAGGAGGGAAGTCATGAGTGACATTTGCCATGAGGATGCCACACCTGCTGGAAACCATTCTGAAGTCGGAGAGCTCACAAGACCTTTGTAGGGAATCCCAAATGTTTGCTTCATTCATGGACAGTTTCCGAGTTGGTTAGCTGAGTCCTCACCTGTCTGGGCACCTTTCTGGAACTCTCTTTCCTCAGAGCCCTGGAGATCTGGGACCCACCGCTCTTCCCCTCGTTCCAGGCAGGAGATCACATCAGGTTTGGAAACTGGAAACCCTGACTAAGAAAAACAAGGGAGATCAGCTGAATTTGTCACAAATAGCATTCCATGGTTTTACCCTCAGCTCATTTTTAAGCACCCCGGGGCCAGCTTCCATAGTTCTAAGCATCAGGACCATTATTAATCATATTCATTACACTAGTGCGAAAGAGCCAATAAAAATCAGGGCCCCATTGTTCCAGGCATTGTATAAACACAGAGTAGTAGACGCTCCATGCCCTGAGGAACTTACAATCTATATAGCCAAGAAACACACACCGAGTGGTGGAAGGAATTAGAATACATGAGCAGAGTGAACAATGTAATGGCAGACAGACATGATAACACAGGCATATCTTGATACTATTGTATTTAACTGTGATGCGGTACACAAACCCCACACTGGGCCTGATGGGGTTAAAGGACACTACCCAGCCCCAGGCCTGCGGAGCATGCTTCAGCTGGAGGAGCAGGTTAAAAGATTCTTAGAAGCCCAGGGAAATGGGGGAGAGGGAACAGGCTAAGGGAAAACAGGTCCTTCACCTGAAAAGCCAATTGGAAGGTTGGACCTGGGATGGAACAGCGACAGTGGTGTGGCCCCCAGGCCATGCCTTCTCCAAACCCCGCCCCCCCCCTTTTCTCACAACCAGCAGACCCCACAGGGCTCTGCTCTTTTGAACTCAGGGGGAGCTTGAATGGGAGATGAAACACTGACCAGAGATCTCGGAAGAGGCAGTTGCCAAGGTGGAGAACTACCTGATGTCCCTTGGCTATTTTTAGTGCGCAATGGTTCTCAAACTGTGGGTCGTAATCCCAAAATGGGTCATGACCCTGTTTTAATGGGCTCACCAGGGCTGACTTAGACTTGCTCGGGTCTGGGGCCGAAGCCTGAGAGCTCGAGCCCTGGGCAGCGGAGCTCAGGTTACAGGCCCTTGCCTATGGCTGAAGCCCTTGCCTTCGGCTTTGCCCGCACCATCCAGGACGGCAGCGTTAGGGCAGGCTCAGACTTTGGTCCTCCCTTCTGGGGCTGTGTAGTAACTGGACTTAACTATCTTGAGTCATTTTTAGGGTTGTCAATTAATTGCAGTTAACGGAGGGAAAAAAGCGCCCACATCATGCCCCATTGCCCCCAGAAGGCCTCTCATTGCAGGGACTGACACCCCCCCACTGCGCCATCCTCCAATGCCACCAGCTGGCCCCTCACACTGGGGGCTGACACCCTCCCGCATCATGCCCCAATGCCCCTGGCCACTTGTTCCAGGGGCTGTCCCCCCCGCCCCCTCCCCTACTGCCCCTGGTTGGCCCCTCAACCCAGGGACTCCCCCCCGCCCCCTCCCCCATTGTCCCTGGCCGGCCCCATGCTCCAAGGGGCAGCCCATAGAGAACAAGGGCCTGGCAAGCTCAGCCTCCCTGCACCAGCCTCTCTTCCCCTGCCACATGCTGCACACTGTATACGTTATAGTCTGTGTTGTAATCGAAATCAATATATTTGAAAATTTTAGAAAACATCCAAAATATTTAAATAAATAGTATTCTATTTGATTAATCACAATTAATTTTTTTAATCACTTGATGCCCTAGTAATTTTGTATCATCTGCAAACTTTGCCACCTCACTGTTCACCCCTTTTTCTAGATCATTTAGGAATATACTGAATTGTACTGGGACCAGTACATATCTCTGCAGGACCCTGCTATTTACCTCTCTCCACTATGAAAACTGACCATTTATTCCTACCTATTGTTTTCTATCTTTTAGCCAGTTACCAATCCATGAGAGGATCTTCCTTCTTATGCCATGACTGCTTACTTTGCTTAAGAGCCTTTGGTGAGGGACCTTGTTGAAGGTTTTGTGAAAGTCCAAATACACAATATCCACTGGATCACCCTTATCAATGTTTTTTGACTTGACAAATTATTCTATAAAGGATTAATGAGGCATAATTTCCCTTTACAAAATCATGCTGATTCTTCCACAACCACTCACGTTCACTTGTGGGTCTGATCATTCTGTTCTTTATTACAGTTTCAACCAATTTACCGGATACTGAAGTTATACTTACAAGCCTATAAGTACCTGGATCGCCTCTGGAGCCTTTAAAAAAAAAAAAAACAGTGTCGCATTAGCTGTCTGCAAGCCATCTGGTACAGAGCCTGATCTAAGCGATTGTGATGTGATGTTCACCCCACACTACTCTACGAGGATCAGTAACTTCCTTCTTCTCCCTGCCCACAGAATTCTGTAAACCTGCACTCCATATACAGGCAGTCTCTTTTTAAAACGTCCCAACCCCCCCCACTTGTAACACACCATCACCTGAGACCCCACTGGTCTTTCCCTGGCCTCCACCCTCTTCTTTTCCGTGCCCTTTCCCTATGTAGCTTCCTTGATCTTCCTCCCTGAATCCAGACCCTTAAACTGCCGACCCCTTCTGGGAACATCTGTCTCTACAGACTCCTCTGTTATTCAACTGCCACATCTAGGGTGACGATTTGATGCCGCCTGACCCACAGCGGGGTGCTCTCTGGGAGACTCTGAAGGAACAGTTCAAAAATGACAGCATCCATAATGTTGGCCAAATGTTGGGTGTCTAGCCTTAGCCAACAAGTGGCCCAGTCTGTCAGTTTTGGCCATAGTCCTCCTGTCCATCCTGCAGCTCAAAATTTTTTGTCAGTACTTTTCTGCCGAAAGGCCCACCCAGTCTAAGACGGGCACCTGAACCACTTCGTAGTGCCTTTCCCACTCATCACTGAGCGCCAGGTAGGCTGCCTGAGCTTCCCCTGTTCAATAGGGAGGTAACCATAGGGCCCAGATTCCTTTATTCCATCCTTCCCCCATAGCCATTCTCCCAAACGTGACCAAAAATCCATTGGGGTCAACCCTGGGGTCCATCTTGCAGAGGCCTAGACCCTGTGCCTGGCTGCTGATCCTACCACAGGGCTCACCACACTTTGTAATAGCTGCTGCTGCTACACCTGCACTTGCTTCCTTAAAATCCCTGAGGGCTTTTTAGTTCCTCAATCTGCCAGGTGAGCAAGGACAGTCTCTCCGAGTGCTGGGACTGCTGGAAGCTCTGCAAGATCGGCTGCATTTCCTTCTGCTGGTCTACCTGCCATTGTAAAGTTCCCTCCACCTCCTGGCCTGCCAAACTTTTTACACTCGCTCCCTATCCATGGGGTAATCTACCGTGGACTACATCCAGACTGCCAGACACTTTTGAATGGACCACAAAAATCTTTTAAAAAAAATTATAATAAGTAAATAAAATTTCTCTGGAGTCTGGACCTTGACTAAACCTTGGGCAAGAAATCTGCACCTTGACAGAAAATAACTGTCTACCCCTGCCTGTCACGTTCTCCACCCCCATGGATAAAGGCAGGATCCCAGACATGCCCCCACGTGTGATGGAGCACGCACTATGCCGGTCCTCTTTGCTTTGCACAGACCACTCAGAGACCTTTTCTTGTGCAGATACACCCTACAGTTTATTTACAGTGTCTCGCTCCACCACCTTTTACATACCAGTGCAGTCACACTGTTCGGAGGCCTGGTCTACACTATAAAGTTAGGCCAACATAAGCCGCCTTGTGCGCAGGTCTACGCTTAAAGTTGTCTCCCAGTGATATAAGTGCCAACACAGTAACATCACCTTCCCAAGCAGCTTTGGGCCATGGTCGATATACATAGGTCAATGCAGCAAGAGTGTAGATGCTGAGTTACTTAGGTTGACTATAACAGTCCTTCAGCCACTGTCCCACAATGCCCAACACTGACCGCGCTGGTCACGGTTGTGAACTCCACTGCCCAGGGGTCATGTGGACAGGAAGCCCCTGCACCCTTTAAACCCCTGCACAGGTTTGAAATGCCTTTTCCTGGTTGTCCAGCTTGATGAGCACAACTAGCAGCTCTCCACTGCTGTGGGCAGCTGCCCAGCTGCCCGTGCCAGCCGCGTATGCCAGACACGCTCCCACCTGGAGCGGGCAGGAGACGTGGGATCTCCTGGGCGCTGTGGGGAGAAGCGGCTGTGCAAGGAACATCTACGGGCAGACTGCTGGGGGGATGCCGGAGACGGGCTACGACCGGGACCAGCAGCCGTGCCACGTGACAGCCAAGGAACTGCGGCAGGCGCACCCCAAGGCCAGGGAGGCCAGTGATCGATTGGGTGTCGAGCTGCAGATCTGCTGCTCTCACAAGGAGCTGCAGGGCATGCTTGGCTGAGACCCCACCATGACCCTGCACATGACTGTGGATACCGCCCAGGTCCTGCCATGAACAGCAAGGAGGAAGTGGATGGGGAAGAGGAGGAGGAATACGGGGGACAGTCTACCAAGGGATCCAGCTGTGCTGCGAGCCAGGACCTGTTTTGATGCCACCGCAGCCCAGCCAATCCCTGCTATCGAGCACTGGTGCAGGGCAAGGACTCTCGGGTAAGCGTTACATTTATTTCCCATTTTCGTGATGACACCCCCAACTTATCAGGACACAGCTCCCTATTCTTCATTGATTCACTCGTACTAGAAGTGGTGGTGGTACGAGAGAGGTAGAGCTGTTCTCTGCTTTTCGTTCCCCACTCAAGTTAGCTGAGGGGACCATGAAGAGCAGTTTATGTCCGCAGGGATGTTCTTCGAATTCTGCTGAGTGATCTCGATGAAACTTCCATGGAGGAGCCCTGCAATCCTCTCCTGAAGGTTTCTAGGGATGGCAGCCTTATTTTTTCCTCCATGGTAGGATGCTTCCCCACACCATTTGGCAATAACTTCAGCAGGCATCACTGCCTTAAACAGGCTAGCGGCATATGACCATCCCCGCAATCCATTGGGCATGCAGACAAAAACAGGCATTGGGAGAACAAATTCAGGGTTTGTGGAAGCAGGTAGCAACCCCCACTCTCCTCCCAGAGCCAGGAACAAAACCAGGGATACAGGTTCCAGCCCTCTGCTTTAACCCACAGAGCCCCACTCAGACCTAATTATAGAACCTTTTTGCTCAACTATTTTCACATACTGATTAAGTTTTCCTTTATAACCTCTCTCAGTTTGCCAAGCTCACTGCTGCTGTCTGTACTTTAAAATGACCACACAGAGTTAATTAATCTCTGACTCATGTCTCCCTCCCTTCCTATATTGCTTTCCACCTGTTCTCTCCTCGCTTCTGCCCTCTTGGTTTTCAAAGTTATAGTTATTGCAGAAACCCCTGTCGCAGGAAGAAACGGAGCAACTAAAAACATCACTAAAATACGTAAGGTGGTAACTTTACTTAAATAAGTCCAGTAAAGTAACTCTTCAGCTGTTGCATTCTTGAAGCGTTAGAACAGACTCTTAACTTTTTTGCAGATATGGTTGCTAAGCAACAGAAATGAGAACTCTGCTTCTAATCCTAGCCCCTAACTAACATATGAAATGTAGGTTTTCCTTAGTTTCATGTAGTAGAATCCTGCAGTGCTGTTCCTTGTCAACAGTAAACCTGGCCGAGCGCCTTGGCCACCGAACCGAGCCTGTGGTCCTTCTGAACAACATCGAGGTCTGCTGAACCCACACGCTGCCCTTTCTGCTACTGCACCCAACGCTGAGCTCCAAGAGCAGCGACACTCGCACCACTAGCTCCCCCCCGCAGCAGGAACCCCACATACTACTCGGGTAACAGGGCTCCCGACAGCTGCAGCTCAGACTCAAACACCTCCCCTTTGCGGAGACAGAATCTGGTTTTAGGCGAGCGGCACGGAGCAGGACCTACCTACAGCTCTTCTACACTCAGACACGGAGCCTGCTCCCCAGAAACAATCCCACCCTTGCTACACTGAGCAGCCCCATCTCCATTAGTCACAGGCAATGTTCCCTTTAATTTTTTCCACCCATGTGCGGAATAAATTTTGTTATGTGCACAAGATAATGTGCGCCACTAGTAGAAACAAAAACCTTTATATATATTTTTTAAAAGTTACCAATAGGGATAATTACTCCAGCCAGGACAAGTTAGGCATTTTAGAACTCACTACTCAAAAAATTAAATCTAAGTATAAGAGAGAAATAAAAATTATGCAATGCACAGAGCATTCAAAAAACTAAAACAACACACTTTGAAAGAATAAAATTACAGAAAATGTATGTGCATTGCAGGAAGAACCAACAACAACAGTATTGGGAGATGTGTGACACACAAAGAGACTGTAGGTGTGCTGGCTGCTGGGGAAGATTCTGAGAGACGCCCATCCGCTGTCTCTTTAAGGCACACACTGAAAGCTCTCCTCCTAAACCATGTCCCCTCACAGGGGGAAAACTGTGTGTGTGTGTCTGTGTCTGTCTCCACACACAAACGCACACACACAGTGTGCTGGCTACTAGGGAAGTCTCTGGGAGACCGCGCACTGTCTCTTAAGACACTCACACACCCGAAGGTGCGTTCAGACCTCAAAGCTGCTGCAAGTTCTGAGCCCTGTCCCCTCTACCCTGCTCTGCAGAGATGGGGTACTGGGGCTGGGGGAGGGGGACCCCCTGACATCAATTCTCTCTCCACCACCAACTCTGCACAGCCAGCAGGAGGGTCCCGGGGACAGCTGCAGGAGCAATGTGGCTGCAAAGCAGCAGGTGCAAGGGGCATCTGAACACATGCTGCCGGCTCCATGTGCGTGGCTCTGCTAATCAACTGCACAGCACTTGAATCTCTCCTGGGCAGCCGCCCAATGGCGCAGCTTACAGGAACACAGTCACTGGATTTCCCTCCAAAATCTTTCACTTATCCATCATTAAACACACAGACAGCTCTCCTATCCCACCCCACGGCTGACAATCCCCATGGCAGGGAGAACCCTGTGCTGACACAAACTACACAACTCAGCGTGCAAATGATATAGACTGGATGCTCAAGGTACACATGCACCTCTTCCCCTTGATCAGGCCAGGGGGACTCAGACCCACAGCTCCTCATTCACAACCACAGCTCTGCACCAATCCTCAAATTAATCCCCAGATTTCCTCACCTCACAATCACACCTCTACCCAGCTGCTCCAACTCATGCCTCTGCCATTCACTACAGCTTCACGTAGCCCAGTGAATGCAGCTGGAGTACATGTGGCTAACGCCCAGTGGTTACTGCC